TTCAAATTTTATAAATAAACTTGCTTAAAAAAACAAGTCAACCTGGGGTGGAAGGAGGGGGGTAAAATGTGCAACAAAGAATGAATGAATGAATGAATGAAAATCTAACTTTTCTATAAACTTTTGTTAAAAATCACAATTAAAATAAAAAATTTTATTTTTAAACAAAGTATGGGACCATTCTCAATACGATGGAACACAATAGTAGGGAAGCCAAGAAACATACACTTCCGCAGCTCAAGAGAGTTCATACCTGGAGGGACAGCCCTTGAACAGCATTTTCCCACCACCTGCCCGAGGTGTCCCACGTTTGCGAGGCCAGTGAATACGGGGCCCACATAAATTCTCATGAACAGGGGAAAAAGAGAGATCAGGCCATGTGCTCAGTGACTTGTTGGGGTCAGGGAAGGCAAGTGACAAGAGAGTTGAGGGGGCAGTACAAGCAGCGGGCCAGAGGCCCAGGGTCAGTTAGCACACTGTACTCTAGTCCTACTCTAATCCACGGGTGGGAGGACAATGCTTCTGGGAGAGGAGGAACTCGGGCACAGCTGGGGAGGAGGGACGCTGCAGAGGACCAGGAGGGGAAACACCTGAAACACACCCCAGGGAGTCACTGCCCTGGGGTCCTTCTCCCTTCCCAACCCCTGAAAGCAGTTGAAGACATGTGGGCTTTACTCCAGAGCGGCCTCAGCAGGCCTGACGTAGGGTTTGCACTAGTGTCTGGTGCTCAGTGTCCAAGTCACAGGACAGAAATGTGCATGTGTGCACTTCCAAGTGCCAGTCACAGATCTGACAGAAGTCTAGCTCTGTCCCTACTTTTCACACCCTTTTTCATACCCTCACAAGGAACTTTTTGTAGAACAAGGTTCCCTCAAGTTCTCTAGTACCAAAGTGGCAACACAGAACTCTGTAGATGCAGAGGGGCAGGGCACCAGGAACGCCAGATGGCTGTGTGCCCCAGGAGCAGTGGTCCCGGGTCCTCTGGCTCACAGTGAGCCCCAGTGATAGCCCATGGACTACAGGCTATCGCTTCTCAAGCTACTCAGTAACCTGACAGGTCTCCCACACCAAGCCTCCCCTGAGCTGCACTCTGCAGCGAGGGACTGAGCCCACCCCACCCCACCGGATTTCCCAGAGCTGTCTGATCTGGCTCGGACCCCACCACGCTGTCACTGCCTTCAAGAACTGCAAAGTCTGAATGATAAAGTGGCTGACACTTTGACAAATTACTAAAAGCCCAGCTAATAGGACTAAAGCGCTTTCCTGAAGAAAGTCATTTTATCTGTATTTAAGCCCAATCTAGCTTTGGATAACTCAACTGACAAAAGTGCAAACCCATCTCAAGGATGGCAGGCAAGCCAACAGAAACTATAGATAAAAGAAAACAGGTCATCCTGATTCACCACCTCTCACGCTGGCAAGAGGCCAGGCAATTCTAGCTCAAACATAGAGATGAGAAGTGGTAATTACAAGTGTGAAATCACCAGGTCTCCCAGGAGGGAGGGGGAAAAAAGAGAAAAGCTCTGCTCAGATCAAACACAAGGTGCCTGGCTACTGTGTGCAACGAAGGCGTTTCAAACTTCCTGTCTCATTTTGTGCCCACCAGCACCCAGCAATGAGTCTTCACAGGCACTCAGCAACCAGCTGTTGGGTACTATCTGAACCTGGACGAGGACAACCTGCTACCCGCACATAATGATGTATGGAAATGCTTCCCACAAGCCAGGGAGAAGCTCTGGCAGAAGCAGCTAGGCACTGGCCGTCAGATGGACAGGATACAAACGACAGTCCTGCCAAGCCTCACCAGCAGTGTGAACGTGGTCACTGCCCCTGCCTTGACCTTGGCCATAAACAAGGAGTTCTAGGATTTCCTCCTGAGTAAAGGGAAGAGTTGTACCAACCAGAATAAAAAGAAGTGCTCTGAATTGGGGTGACTCTGTGCACATGGGCTGCTGGGAGAATCTTGCCTTTGTGGACAGGAACCTGCACCCAGAGATGGGGAGTCAGTCACCAGCAAGAACTCAGGCTGTCCCTGGGGGACATTAAACTCAAGGCCATCCCCTGTGCTGTGCTCAGTAGCTTTGGCAGGGAGAGGCCTGCACCAGGCACTCTTTACTATCCCCCATTCCAACCCCGCCCCGTTTGCTACTACAGTTAACATGGGTCACTTGGAGTGTACCCCACATGTGTTGGAGCTGAACTGTGCCCCACAGGGTTTTCAATGGATACTTTTTCAGAAGCAGATCCCTAGCCTTTCATCCAAAGCACGTCTGGGTGACCAGGAACCTTTAGCCTTTGAGTTAGCAGCCGAGTGCATCAGTTGTCCATACTACTCGCCACTCAGGACTCCCACTTCCTCCTGAGGAGGAATGCTGATGAGGTAGAGATAGGATACACTGTGGGCGGGACACAAGGGGACAGGCAGAAGGCAGTTCATAAAGGTGAGGCCCAAGCAAGGGTCTAGTCTTCAAAAGAAACAGAGGGATTGGAAGCTGATTCTTCTGAGCAGGGGAGAAAGAGAACAATGGCCCTGTGCTTTTCTTAACCCAAGTGATTGTGAAGTGAAAATGGAGACATGGTTTGGAGGGGAACGAGAACTCTGGCCAAAGAGACATAGGAATTTCAGGTGACAGTAGATAATCCAAGTGAAAACTTTCATTCAAATGAACACAGAATAAAGACAGAAAGATACTATGACAAAACAATTATGAGATATCATCTCACTCCAGCAAGATTAGCAAAGTTGGACAGAATAGCAAACAAATGCTGGTGAGGTTGTGGAGAAACTGGAATCCTTCTTCACCGTTGATTGGAGTGTAAAATGGTGCAACCACTACAGAAGGCAGTGTGGCGTTTTCTCAAAAAGTTACAAATAGAAATACCATTTGACCCAGCAATTCCACTACTGGAAATATACGCTAAAGAAATCAGAACTGCCACCCAGAGAGATATATGCACACCCATGTTCATTTCAGCTTTGTTCACAATAGCAAAGAGTTGGAAACAATCCAAGTGCCCATCAACAAACGAATGGATAGCGAAGCTGTGGTATATTCACACAATGGAATACTATGCTGCATTGAAAAGCAAGGAATTAATGAAGCATTATACAAAATGGGCGACCTTATGCTGAGTGAAATATCTCAGTCACAAAGGGATAAACACTGCATAATGCCACTATTATAAAACAGGACTGAAATCGGGGTTGAGGGGAATCTAAGAAAAGAGGGTTTAAATAATGTATACTGCATTGAGTAGTATACCAATTGGTAGCATCAGGATGGATGGTGAAGAGATTGAGATTGTTCACAGCTTCAGTTTGCTAGGCTCCACAGTCAACACTCTTGGCACCAGCAGTCAGGAAATCAAAAAGCGTATTGTGATGGGAAAGTCTGCTGTTAGGGACCTCTCTAAAGTACTCAAGAGCAACGGTGTCTCTCTGGAGATGAAGGTGCATCTGATACAGGCCATGGTCTTTGCAATCACTTGTTATGCATCAGAGAGTTGGACAATGACTAGGGAGGACAGAAGGAGAATTAATGCCTTTGAGCTGTGGTGCTGAAGAAGAGTATTGAATGTACCATGGACTGCCACGAAAACAAACAGATTCATCCTGGAGAGGATTAAGCCAAGCAACTCCTTGGAGGCAAGGATTCTGGGACTTCGTCTGACATACTTTGGACATGTTGCTAGGAGGGACGCGTCCTTGGAGAGGGACATCATGCTTGGGAGAGTGGAGGGACGGCGCAGGAGGGGAAGACCCTCTATGAGACGGATTGATTCGGTGACTGGGGTAATCTGGATGGGTGTGTCAGAGGCAGTGCGGTTGGCACAGGATAGAGCAGGGTTTAGGGCTATTGTGCATAGGGTCGCTATGAGTCGCAAACGACTCGACAGCAGATAATAACAACAACAATACTGCATTGAAGGAAATGAGGGAGAGACCTGTTTGAAAGGAATATATGATAAGGTATTATTTTCATGACAAGAGTCCAGAATGAGAGCTTCATGCGGGGAGTGGACTTAGGCAGGGGAGATTGTATAAAAATGAAAGTCTGTTTGTTTTTTTACTTTTCAAAGAGAAAAACCAATGGGGGGAGGGATGGGCAGGGAGGAAAATATGCAACAATGAATGAATGGAAATCCAAAGTCTATAAACGTCATTAAAATTTCAATTAAAAAAAAAAAGACCAGATGATGCTTCCGCTGATATCCCTATTTCATTCTGTTCTTATAACAAGGTGGGGGAAAAATACCTAGGAAGATAGCAGAAAAGAAGGAATCAGAAAAAGCGCCATTACCAGAATAAAGAAGTATCAAGCTGCAATGAAAAAAAAAAGAAGGAATCAATTCAAGAACTACTCCAAAAATATTTCAGAAAATCCAATTCCATCCCAAATAACACCAAAATCAGACAATATGAGAGGCAGTGCTGGCAAGGGCACAACAGACTGACATTCTTGAGCACACTGGGAGGAAAGAAGCACTTTTGGAAGGCAGTTTGGCAACGGGCATCAGGAATCCTAAAGTGTGAGTATCTCCACTCATAATAATGGCTCTTCTAGGAATCTGTCCTAAGGAAATCCTCAAAAAAGAAAGGTATGTGATAGGTGTGAGAATATCGGTCTCAAGGAGACACTTATTACGTATAATGGCACAGAAGTGGAGGAAACGCCTTAAATATCCAACCACAGGGGAAAGATTAAGAACATTATATGTCCTTGATGGAAATACCAAACAGGCATAAAAATGTTAGTTATGAAGACCATCAGGTAACAGGGAAATCCAGGATGCCTTTTTATTCCCTTATTCATAATGTTAAAAATGAAAAAGAAAAAGCAGGTTATAAGAGAGTATATATAGGCTCTAACAGGAACTTCTCATGTTTAGTTGGCTGGGTTTGGGTGTATTTTTGTCCCTCCACTTCTCTAACGTACTGTACTGCCTCTGATGAAATGGAAGTAACCAGCAGTATTCAAAACAGCTGGCCCGGGCGGTACCTTGGCTCCGTCCACACTGATGATGCGGTAGCTGTTCCTCGTGACATCGTAGAAGTAGGAGACGGTGACCGCCTGCTTGCTCGCTGGCACCCAGTTCTTCTTGGTGCTGGGATCGATCTGGAAGACATGCGCTCTCGTGGTGAAAATGGGCTGTTCTCTGCAAAGAGGAGAGAAGGGCCCTTGAGTTGCTGAAAGATGACTTTATGTGTCATTTATGGCTTTGTGGTGGATAGGCCACCTACTGCCCCAAAAGATTTAAAATAGCTTATGGGAGAAGATACATATGCATGAGGACAATTAAAATGAGACAAGCTGAGGCCCAGGAAAGAGGCAGCGCCAGCGAGGAGGGGCAATTCAACGCATCTCACAGTTCCCACCACGAGGCTGCAGGGCAGCGGCTTAATGAGCAGGATGCTGAAAATTCAACTCCTTGTTAAGTGTTTTCGCATCAGGTCAAGCATTCCTGTCTTTTTCTGACATCTTGTTTTAGGATCTTGCATTATTAGGACCCTGGAACCAAGACGTTTTTTAATATTTTTCAGTAACAAATTTTAGGGAGGAATTCTGTCACAATGTTGAGGGTTTTAAAGCCCCTGGGCAGCTCAATGTCTTATTTCTGGCAAATTCCAGTAACTGCTCACATCTGCAGCATATTCTAGATGAGGGGACTATTTCATATCCTTGTCAGTACCAATGGAGTCTACTTTGGGAACCATTTAAGAACTTTTCAATTAGACTGAGCTTTAGCATTTTTCAGTTTCTATCACGTGAACCTTCTAGAATTCACTTGGTAGGTGCCATGGAGTCGGGCCCAACCTGCAGAGATTCTGTGGAGCGCTGGTGGCACACTGTTTTGCACCATCAAGTCAGAACCAACTGAGAGCTGAGCCTCCAGCGGGTTTTCAGGGGCAGTAAATTGCATGGGAGGAGACTGCCCATCTTTCTCTCATGGAGCAGCTGGTGGATTTGAACCGCACACCTTGGTGTTGGCACCCCAATTCTTTACCACTGGTGGCCTAGTCCATAGCAAACTGTGCTGCCAACCTAAAGGTGGTGTTTCTCTGGTCATGTGAATCCACCAGTGGATCCTCCAAAGAAAGAGAATCTTCTCCCATGCAATTTACAGCCTCAGAAGCCCACTGGAAGGTCAGCTCTGAGTTCAGTGAGGGAGAGAGGAGGGGGAAGGAAGAGTAAGGGGAAGGGAGAGAGGAGGGAGGGAGGGAGAGAGGGAGAGGGATAGAGAGGGAGGAAGAGGAAGGGAAGGAGAGGAGGAGGAAAAGGGGGAGAGGGAGAAGAGGTGGGAGGGATGGAGAGGGAGGAGAGAGGGAGGGAGAGGAAGGAGGGAGATAAGGAGGGAGAGGGAAGAAGGGTTAGGGAGGGAGGGAGAGGGAGAGGGATGGATAGGGAGGGAGGGAGAGGGAGAAGGAGGAAGGGATAGCGAGGGAGGGAGGGAGATGGAAAAGGAGAGGGGAGGGGAGGGGGAGGGACAGAGGGAGGGAGGGAGGAGGAAGGGAGGGATGGAGAGGGAGAGGGAGAGAGACAGAGACAGAGAGATATGCACAAGGACAGTGCTGTTGTGCCAATCTATCTCTCTGGTGCTCTCCTTCTACTTAAAATTCATCAAATCCACCTCTTTTCCCTGTTCTTGGCTCTGGATTACTGTTCTTGCTTTTTCAGCCCACCCACTTCTAACCACTTTCTGTGATCATTAGTCGCATTACCACATCACCTATGCTGCTTTCTGTTTACTGGGGAATTGGATGCTGACAGCAAGCATTTAGAAATGAGGCAGATGGATAAAAATGATCCTGAACTCTTAAGGTTCTGCTTCACAGAGGAACACAAAATGGGACACATAACCATGACATGTGAAGAAAGAATCTTTAGGCAAACTGGCTCAAAATCCTTTCCCTCGCTCACTTCCTGCCACCGAGTCAGTTCTGACTTACAGTGACCCTGCACCAGGTTTCTGAGGCTGTGCGCTGTAATGTAAGGGACTGCCCATCTCCTGCAAAGCAGCCAGTGGATTTGAACTGCTGGCTTGACCTTTGGGTTACCAGTGCAATTCACTGCAGACTAAGTCACCAGGTTGAAAAGAAGACAAAATGAAGGGCAAGGGTTTAACTAGGCTGAACTCCAGGTTATGAATCCTTCTTGTTGTGTACCATCGGGTGGGAACCAAGCCATAGGAGACCCTCCAGAGGGTTCTCAGAGGCAAGAAATCACACAGAAGGAGATTGTCCATCTCTCTCTCTCAGGGAGCAGGTGGTAGATTCAAACGGCAGACCTTTGGATTGGTGTGCATCTCCTTACCACTAAGCCACCCCCTATCACTCCTAACATTCTACTAATTTAATAATAAATAGTTTATTGGAGATACAAAATTAAGTCAGAAGATAGCTTAAATCAACTCATCTTTTACTCCTTTTAATGTCAAAACACACAAACACACACACAAAATGTTACCATCAAGCCAGTTCTGACTCTTGAAGAGGCAACTGCACCTTTCTTCCATGGAGCGTGTGGCAGGTTTGAAAAACCTATGACTTTTTGCTTAGTGACGAAGCTGTCACTTTCTGAGGCACCCACCAGGGCAGAGCGCTACAATGGGTGATGTGGTCTCAAAAGGAAGTGGTTTTAAAATGTTTTAGGCAAAGAAACCTTTGAGCCCATCCTGACCCCAGAACACTTCCACATTATCACTTGAAAAAAGTGCTTCGTTAGGAGGGAATTTACCATCTGGGCCTAAAGCATGAACCATGGAATAACACCATTGAGCACCCCCCACCCCATGGTTCTAGGAAGAAGGGCAAGTCTTTCCATCACTATTCCTCAAAAGTGGGAGTGATAGGATCTATCTGGTAACTAGGATGACAGAGAGGAAAAGAGGAGTCCAATGGCATAATGTTTCAACACTCACCTGCTAACTAAAACATCAGTGGTTCAAAACCACCAACAGCTCAGAGGGAGAAATGACCTGACAATCCATTCTTCTAAAGGTTACTGCACTAAAAAAACCTATGGAGCATGTCTACTCTGCTTCATAGGATTACTAGGAGTTGGAACCCACTTAACGTCACCCAACAAATAAAAGGATGACAAATCGTTACATTTGGCAGGCAATACCAGAGTACTCTACAAACCCTAGCACAGAATTCAGAAAAACAGACCCCTGAGATAGTACAAGGGCTATAACTGGTCATAGGAATCAAGTCCCATGAATGTACAAATCAGTTCCAATAGGAAAACACAAGAGAAGCAGAACTTTCCAACCCAGGATGCTGTCATCCCTTCCCCACAGGGAACAACTGAAGAGATTGTGTATCAGGGAACCAAAACTACCCTTCATACCTAATTTCATTCTTCTTTCTTTGGTGTTCAATGCCCAGGGAATATATTTCAAATATACTCCCATTCCTTCTTTAGTGCTTTAAATAGAAAGCAGATGTTTCCGGATGGCAAGACGTTTCTTTAGCAGACAATATAACCTACTGTTCCCCTGCACAGTCTTTTTTAGAGCTGAATAAACACCAATTGCTGTTCATTGAAAACATTTTGGAACCTGACAGTAATTGTCCCCAAGAATAATTAAACATTCTGTGCAATGTATGTACGTTTGGAATATGAAAACCACTTGGCTCCATGTGAAATGATCCTGCAAAGAACTGGCATGATTAGTTTTTTTCCAGAAGAGAAAATAAAAGTAATGCTTGAACTTATTACAATGCTCAATTTGCAATGCTCAACTCCAGACTGTGTTTCTGACACAAAAAATATAAAACCTTACAGCATTTATTTCTTCTACCTCTATTTTTAATTAAACCATCCACACTTTATAGTCTTTAGAACAGTATTCTACAGTTTAAAAAAAAAATCAGTTTCCATGATGTCTTGTGGCAACACCAAGTGTGTCAGAGCTGAACTATATTCCACAAGGACTGATCTTTGAGACTGAAATACCTGGCTGTTTTAACAGAGTGCCTCAGGGCAGACTCAAACTTCTACCCTTTCCATTAACAGTGTACACCATCTAGGGACTCCTCACAGTGTCATAACTCAACAAAAACTACACTCATTGCCATCAAGTCACAAACAACCCATAGTTGATTCTCCAGTGGATTCTCAGGGGCTATAAACTACACAGGAGGAGACTATCTTTCTTCCTTAAAAGAGTTAGTGGATTTGAACTGCCTGCCTCTGGGTTGGCAGCACAACTCTTTATCCCCTAGGCTATTAGAGCTTCCTCACAGTCTTCACATGGTATCTTAGTTTTATCCACCTTGAATTTGAACTCTTTTATTTATCATCCAAACAACACCAAGAGGAAGGGCCTTGCCTGGTTCAATGTGGAAGTTAGTGCCCACCCAGTTTCAACAGCCCCTTTCAGTACCTCCCCCCAGAGAACTAACTCCAGATGTTTCAGAGTGATCCAAAGGCCCCTGAACCTCTGGCCCAGCCAGCCCCCTCATCAGATGGGCTACTGCTGCTGTTGTTAGCACTTCCAAATCACCTATCCTTTCTCATGTCCATAACCTTCCATCTGCCCTTTGCTCAGGCTACGCCTTCTCTCCTCTTCAGCTGGTCAGACAATCCCTGCAGGCCTTCAAGCCCCACACAGCATTCTGTAAGGACGAGGCAGTGCCCTTAGGACATACTACAAACTCATAGGGTCAGTGCATCACTCAAGTCTCTGAGCCTAGGACAGAAAAGAGAGACTGAGCTAGAGTCCTTCCAGCACCTTCTTTTATGCCTAGACTCAAATTCATGAGTATATTATTGCTGTTGTTGTTATATGCTGTCTAGGCCAGTATAACTCACAGCAACCTGACATACAACAGACCCAAATTCTGTCTCACCCTGCGCCATCCACATCATCTCTGACACATCTGAGCTCATTGCTGCAATCACTAAGTCAATCCATCTCATCGAGGGTCTTCTCTTTCGCTGACCATCCACCATTCCACTCATGATGTCCCTCTCTCCAAGGAGTCTCTCTGGAGACTAAGGTGCATCTGATATAGTCCATGGTCTTTGCAATCACTTGTTATGCATCAGAGAGCTGGACAGTGACTAAGGAGGATAGAAGGAGAATTGATGCCTTTGAGCTGTGGTGCTGGAGAAGAGTACTGAGGGTACCATGGACTGCTAGGAAAACAAACAGATTCATCCTGGAGAGGGTTAAGACAGGTGGTTCCCTGGAGGCAAGGATTCTGGGGCTTCGTCTGACATACTTTGGATATGCTGTAAGGTTCTTGGAGAGGGACATCATGCTTGGTAGGGTGGACAGACAGTGCAGGAGGGGAAGGCCCTCTATGAGGTGGACTGATTCAGTGACTCGGGTAATCGGGATGGGTGTGTCTCAGATGGTGCGACTGGCACAGGACAGAGCAGAGTTTAGGGCTGTTGTACATAGGGTCGCTATGGGTCGCAAGCGACTCGACGGCACATAACAACAACAACAACAGCACCAACACAGACCCAAAGGTGGTGAGATGAAGCCTCACCATCCTTGCCTCTAAGGACACTCTGGCTGCACTTGTAGAGTTCTACCTTCATCCAAAAGCCCCAAAGTAAAATGATCACCACTTGCAGATGAGACGATGTGACATCTAGAACATCTAAGAAAATGAAACTTAAAGGTGAATACAAACAAGAAAATTCATTAATGTGGCTGAATATACAATTATTAGTCAGGAGCACAATCAATAGCTCTCCTATATAAACAGCTAAATAGAAAAGACAATGACTTTTAAAAACCAGACCCCATATACAGTAGCAACCAAAAGGAAAACTTCTAGGAATCTATTTAAGGAAGATCAAAGATCTCTATTTAAAAATTTAAAACTTCTGCGTCACACAAAAGAAAACATGAATAAATAAGGCATCTCATGTTCTTAAATAAGAAGGGTGACTATGAAGATGTCAATTATACCTAAATTAATACATATATTTAACAGAACACAAAGACCAGCAGGGCTATTTTCAGAATCAGCCAGGGTTATTCATGTGGAAATCCTGGCAGGGGAGGAGAGTCAAGAAGATTTTGAGAATGAAGAACAACGAGGAGGTAGGGCTGCCCCAGATACTACAATCACGCTATCCTAGAGTAAGGAAAGAAGGACTTGCACCAGAACCAGTAGACCAGCAGCTGTCAAGTTGATCTCACTTTCACGCAAGCATCAGGGTGAACTGTGCTTCCTAAGATTTTCGGTGCATGAGTTTTCAGAGGCAGGATGTCTTTCCTGTCTTCTGACAAGTTTCTGGGTAGACTGGAACTTCCAACCTTTCGGCTAGCAACCACATAGGGTAACCATTTTCAACGCTCGGGGACTCTACAAAGCAAACAGATTAATGGAACAGGACAAACCCAGACAGAGATGCTGGAGGAGTCAAGTACATGATAGAGAGTATTATCTATCAGTTGGGACACAAAGGGTCATCTCACAAATCCTTTTACAACACTGGGCAGTTCCCCTGGACAAACATGCGTGGGTCAGAAGCCCGAGTCCCTTAGAGTGAGGTCACAACTGCTCAGTTCTGTTAAAGTTATTTCCACGTGCCCCAAAACTGTCCAGATTAACGAGTCTGATAAATGAGAACTCTCTTCCAAGAAAGAGTTGTCACACATCCTCCTCGGTTGGCCGGGGAGGGATCCCCTTTCTGGGTCACATTAACATCGGGAAATGGGATGAGCTGTGAGTCCCCTGATGTAGGCTGACGGGCTTCATTAACGACACGAGCTTAGACCCTGGAGAACTTGACAGCTTTTAAGAAGCTTTCACCACACATTATCCTGTTCATCCTCATTTGCTGTGGGCTTGACAAGGCTCTCATGTGGAAGCTGGAGTCCCAGGCTGAAGGCTGCCACAGAGGGACCATCAGATCTATTCCCAAGTCCAGAAAGGAGTGGCCAGGTCCAGAGCGGTGGGTGAAGACACGGAAGGCCAGGTGGGGGAGAGACAGCATGGGAAGACCAAAGGAAGGATAGAATGCAAACATCTTCAATGGGTGAAAGAGACAGCCTTCTCTGAAGGAAAGGGATATGCACAGAGATTATGGGAAGACAAAGAAAGGGTCTTGAGCAAGGGCCCAGAGAGGGAGAGAAAATAAAACTTAGTAGCCTGCAAAGCCGCTCCATGTTCAAATGCTATTCCTCAACTACTTCTCTATTTCTCTGCACTCCTCTCCCACCTCCATACACAAATGTCGTTCTCCTTTGCCCAGAGTCCCTCTTATCTGGTGGGTTTAGCAGGGAGTGGGGAAAGGACATTCTAGGTGCAAAACAGAGATACACTCAGCCTGCCGTTGCGTGCTACAGGAAAGGTTGGCAGGAAAGGAGGGTTCACAGTGCCCAAAGCCAGACGGCCTTGCACTTAGAAGCCAGGACTAAGAAACTGGTCTTTATATTGGGGGTCAGCCATTTCCCAGCTGGCCTCAGTGGGTAAATGTGTATCAGGGCTATTTTTTTTCCTTCCAAATACATATATATATATATATATATATATATATATATATATACATATGTGTGTGTGTATATATATATATGAAGGAGAAATGTTCTATGCACTTTACAGTTCTTCACATAATTATCTGATACTGGCCTTTAACAACCAACGTGTTTGTTATACTGAGGGCTGCCAGGGAATTACACAGAAGGTTAGTAGTTCACCGATACCTGTCAGTGGAGTTACATCCAGGTCTATGACCTACAAATTAGCCCCAGGACTGACAAACACTGTCTGGTCACAGTGACTCTGCCATAATAGGTATTAGGATTTCAGCATGTATCCCTG